AGAGTTCGAAGATATGTATACACTTGTTTAACAGTCACCATAGACGATGCCATAAACATCATCAGCCCTAAGATTCCTCCTCACTCTCTCTTTCGTATGTGTATGTGATAAGAACGTTTAGTCTAAGATCTACCCTCTTAGCAAATTTTAAAGCATATTCTACAGTATGGTTAACTATATATACTAAACAGTACAGTAGCTCTCTAGGACTTATTTACCTTACATAACTGAAACTTTTTGCACCCTTTGGCTGACACCTCCCTGCTTCTGTTCTCCCTTTACCCAGCTCCTGGGAAGCATCGTTCTGCTGTCTGCTTCTTTGAGTTTGACTGTTTTAAATTCCTGACATAAGTGGGTCTCACTCCAATCTTCATGCTGCCTCCCATTCCCAGTGGGCATGCGACCCAAGTCTGATCCGTCTAGGCTCCCGTTCCCTGGTGCTTTTCTTCTCTTCCATCAGAGAAGACATCATTGAGACCCTCATACTTTATTACGCGTATTCTTAGAGACTGTCACCCAGAGAGAAGGTAGACCAACTCTTAAATTAAGCAATATATAAGTAGTTCCTAAATGCTTCAAATTCATGTATTTATTCAACATTTATGAAGCAGTTTCTGTGCTACCTACGTATTGTGCTCAGAACTGGGGAAGCTTATGGCAATAAACAAAGCAGACAAAAATCCCTGCCCTGAACAGTTCCACAGCTGTCAATATCAGCCATGTGATTACTAAAATTCTGAGCGCTGAAAGCGGGTGCAGAGTACTTACTGGAACCATCAAAGACTTTTGTGATCAAACAAGTTTTACCAGAGATTTTGCAGATTCTAAGACTAATCTACTCAACAAAGCATATTAAAAATGCAAGCTATTAATAGGAAGAGACTTTAAAATTCTATTTTTTCAAAGAGCTGAATCACTCTGCTGGTTAGAGATAATATGTAATCAGTTCTGAATCTAAAATGACTCCGAAAAGTCAAAAGAAGCCACAAGGTCATGCTCACATCTTCCCTCTCCAGAGATTTTTCAGAACATCAGCACTGTATTAAAAAGAAAATGGTTAAAAAAAGAGAGAGAAAGAGAAATTATAGACCTAAACTGAAAGTGCAAGAATATGACTTTGCTATTGCAGATAAAAAAAAGTCAAGCTAATCAATCAGTTTAATACAGTAAAAGCCTTCTTAGCAGTGATTTAATTCTATTTTTGTGATTAATTTTGTTTTTATATTGTTTTATTTAGTGAGAAATAGTTAAGGAAATAAATAAGAGAATAAAAACAAATCTGCTACATTCCAACCACTCAAAATTAACTCCTGTTAATATTTTGGCATATTTGCTTCCATGTCCTTTTTGATGTTCCTACTATTTTTAAAAACACTGCTCTCTGTCTCACTGTCTTGCTCCATCTTTTTGTCTCTGTCTCTGTCTCTCTCTCTGCCTATATATATACATATACATGCACACACATATATACTTCTTTAAAAAATATTGGAACATTAAGTTAATGCTAAAATCTCTTTTGAAAGTTATCCCTCTTGGTTCCCAGAAGTAATCATTATTTTAATTATTGTTATTATTATTTTGATACAGGGCCTCACTCTATCACCCAGGCTGGAGTGCAGAGGCAAAATCATGGCTCACTGCAGTCTCCACCTCCTGGGGTCAAGTGATCCTTCTGCCTCAGTCTCCCAAGTAGCTGGGACTACAGATGTGCACCATCATGCCCAGTGAATTTATTATTTATTTATTTATTGAGACAGAGTCTCACTCTGGCGCTCAGGTGGGAGTGCAGTGGCATAATCTCAGCTCACTGCAAACTCCACCTCCCGGGTTCAAGTGATTCTTTGCCTCAGCCTCCCAAGTAGATGGGATTTACAGACATGCACCACCACGCCCAGCTAATTTTTGTATTTTCAGGTTTTACCATGTTGGCCAGGTTGGTCTCAGACTCCTGACCTCAAGTGATCCACCTGTCATGGCTTCCCAAAGTACAGGGATTATAGGTATGAGCCATTGCACCCAGGCCCCGTGAATTTAATATTTTAAACTTGATAAGTATTGTTCTATTCCATTTGCTATACTTTTATATACATATGCAAATAAAAGAGATCTTTGGCTCCTTGCCCAATGCCAATCTGGGATCACGGTGGGGTGGTTACAGGATCTGCATGCCCAGATGGACATCTGAATTATAGTTTAGGCTAAGCTGAGAGCCTCACCAAAAAGTACATGCATACAACCATTTTTTCAGCAAGCAAATTGTTCCTATCCCATAAGATAAAATTAAATACATTATTATGTCACAAAGAACATCATGATTTCCCAGTATTTTATCCTGAATAAGTATGAAGACCATTGCTCTGTCAGAGGGGTTGAGAAAAATATTAAGTGAGAACCCATAGATAACAGGGAATGATCAATGCGTTAAAAATGAAATCAAATATAAGAATAGAGGTGAGGCTGCCTAAGTGGGTGAGGGAGGTCTCCAAAGAGGTGACCTTCAACATTAAAACAATGAACACTGTGAATAAAGTGTGGGAGCGAGCTGGAAAATGTCAGGAGAGCAGAGCAAATTGGTGCAATGTGATATTTGACATGAAATGCTGCACTAGGGCCCTGTCATTCATTTACAACCTAATCTCCTGAGGAAGAAATGCTAATGGTCAGAAATGGGTACATTTCCTTCACCAGCTACCTGAGTAGCAGAAAGTAAGAGGCCTCAGTCAGTACATGGTTTGTTAGATTATCAGAAGCTTTAACCAGAGCTGACTTAGGGGACTATGCAGGGCTGTTAGAACTTCTGGGGCTCTGAAAAAATTTGCCAGGAGTTTGTCTTTGCTACACTTAAACCTCTCTTGGCTGGGCACCTTACACCTGTAATCCCAGCACTTTCAGAGGCTGGGATGGGTGGATCACTTGAGGTCAGGAGTTTGAGATCAGCCTGGCCAACATGGTGAAACACCCTCTCTACTAAAAATACAAAAATTAGCCGGGCATGGTGGTGCATACCTGTAGTCCCAGGTACTCAGGAGGTTGAGGAGGGAAAATTCCTTGAATCCGGGAGGTGGAGGTTGTGGTGAGCCGAGATGGTGTCACTGCATTCCAGCCTGAGTGACAGAGCAAGACTCCATCTCCAAAAAAAAAAAAAACAAAAAAAAAAACCCAAATAAAGAACAAATCACCTCTGTCTCAGCCTTTTGCTCCTCCGGGTCCCCAGGGCACTCACATTGACCAAGGCCATGCCAACCCGCCCAGGCATTTCTGGTGGATACCTGGTGTGTGCTGGCCCAGCACTCCTCCCTTTTTTGGGGAATGGCACATCTTTTCCTCTGGGGCATGTTCTTCTCCCCACTGCAAACATGTGGTTCCAAAGGAGCTGCCACGTTATTGCATATCCTGCCCTTTGGCCACATTCATGAGTCTTTGGGTGGGAACATGACCAAAACTGGGCCGGTTGGAATACTTCATGCACTGACCACAGAGCATTCCACTGCCTGGTCAAGGCTAGGTCAAACCACAAGCCAAGTTAATCAGCATCCATCCCCAGGATTTTTTCACTTGGAGCTTAAGGAAAGAAATTCAGTCTCTGTTTAGGAACAACGTTGTGAGCACTGAGGTAGGGGAACTGTTAACAGTCCTGCTCCTTGCGGTGAAGGAAGCTGTGCTGAAAGAATGAAGCCTCATGCTGAGAGATAAGGAGGAGAGTAAGTGGTATTGGAGCTCCTGCTTCCAGATATCCTGGAATTCTAACTATATTCCCTCTGCAATTATGAAAGGCTGCCAAAAAATTTCCCCCTTTGCCTAATCCAATTGTTCTCTATTTCTTTCATGATAATACAAATCCTGATATAAATGTCTTCCTCCACATTGCCCTAAGTTCTAAAATTGCCCTCCTGCACCCCAGCTTCCTAAACAAAATTCTTCCTCAAGGTGATAGGCCAAAGTAATCTGATTGGCTCCCTGAAGCAATTCACCCTGAGGTATGGACAATTCAGAAGTTTCCCTGTGTTGTTAATGGGGTAGACCACACAAGAGATGGGGCAGGGGGTATATGGGAAATGTCTATACCTTTTAAATTTTGCTGTGAATTTAAAACTGCTGTTTTAAAAAGTCTTAGAAGAAAAGCTTCCCTGTAGCCTTGGCCTTAAGATTGAACCACTTTATGACCATGAAATTCTACTCCTGGGTACATAACCAAGAGAACTGAAAAAATGTATATCCACACCAAAACTTGTACATAGTGCTCGCTTTAGCCGCACATACACGATTAGGTTGGTGTAAAAGTAATTGCGGCTTCAGACCATGAATTTTAAATCATTATAACTCAGTTCAAACACACACACACACACACACACACACACACACACACACACACACACACATATATACATTTTTTTTTTTTGAGATGGAGTCTTGCCCTGTTACCCAGGCTGCAGTGCACTGGCACGATCTCGACTCACTGCAACCTGCACCTCCTAGGTTGGAGCAATTCTCTGGCTCAGCCTCCCGAGTACCTGGGATTACACGTGCCCGCCACCATGCCTGGCTAATTTTTGTAATTTTAGTAGAGATGGTGTTTCACCATCTTGGCCAGGGTGGTCTTGAACTCCTGATGTCATGATCTACCTGCTTCAGCCTCCCAAAGTGCTGGGATTACAGGTGTGAGCCGCTGCGCCCGCCATAAACAAATCTTTTTCATCAAAATAGGAACCATTACAATCGACATATTTTTGTCAACAAGAAATAAGTTTGTTTATTCCTGTAGCACAAAAATACGTGCTTCAGGATTCCATAAACTCTTGGAAAACATTTTTCTGCATCCTGCTGGTTGTGGAAGCATTTTTTTCCGCAACAAGTTGTTGAGATGCTTGAAGAAGTGGCAGTCAGTTCGCAAGAGATCAGGTGAATACTGCAGATGAGGCAAAACTTTGTAGCCCAATTTGTTCAACTTTTGAAGCATTGGTTGTACCATGTGAGGTCGCACAAGATGAGATTGTCATGGATAAGAATTGGGCCCTTTTGGTTGGCCAATGCCAGCTGCAGGTGTTGCAGTTTATGTTGCATCTCATCAATTTGCTGAGTATACTTCTCAGATACAATGGTTTCCTTGGGATTCAGAAAGCTGTAGTGGATCAGACCGTCCGCAGACCAGCAAACAGTGACCATGACCTTTTTCTGGTGCAAGTTTGGCTTTGGGAAGGGCTTTGGAGCTTCTTCTTGGTTCAGTCACTGAGCTGGTCATTGCCGATTGTCGTATAAAATCCACTTTTCCTGTAATCCCAGCACTTTGGGAGGCCGAGGTGGGTGGATCACGAGGTCAAGAATTTGAGACCAGCCTGACCAACATGGTGAAACCCTGTCTCTACTAAAAATACAAAAGTTAGCTGGGTATGGTGGTGTGCACCTGTAATCCCAACTACTCAGGAGGCTGAGGCAGGAGAATTGCTTGAACCCGGGAACTGGAGTTTGCAGTGAGCCAAGATCGTGCCATTGTACTCCTGAGCAGAGTGAGACTCCTTCTCAAAAAAAAAAAATGAAAGAAAGAAAAGAAAAAATCCACTTTTCATCACATGTCACAATCCAGTCGAGAAATTGTTCATTGTTGTTTCGTAGAATAAGAGAAGAGGACATTTAAAAACAATGATTTTTTTATTTTTATTTTTGCTCAGCTCATGAAGGACCCACTTATTTAGCTTTTTCAGCTTTCCAGTTTGCTTCAAATACTGAATGACCATAGAATGGTTGACATTGAGTTCTTCAGCAACTTCTCTTGCAGTTGTTAGAGGACCAGCTTCGATGATTGCTCTCAACTGGTCATTATCAACTTCCAATGGCCAACCACTACGCTTCTCATCTACAAGGCTCTTGTCTCCTTCACAAAACTTCTTGAGCTATCACTCCACTGTGTGTTCATTTGTCAGCAGTTCCTGGGCCAGTTGCATCATTGATGTTACAAGTTGTCTCCCCTGCTTTACGATCTATTTTTGAACTCAAATAAGAAAATCATGCGAGGCCGGGCGCGGTGGCTCAAGCCTGTAATCCCAGCACTTTGGGAGGCCGAGGCGGGTGGATCACGAAGTCAAGAGATCAAGACCATCCTGGTCAATATGGTGAAAGCCCGTCTCTACTAAAAATACAAAAAATTAGCTGGGCATGGTGGCGCGTGCCTGTAATCCCAGCTACTCAGGAGGCTGAGGCAGGAGAATTGCCTGAACCCAGGAGGCAGAGGTTGCGGTGAGCCGAGATCGCGCCATTGCACTCCAGCCTGGGTAACATGAGTGAAACTCCGTCTCAAAAAAAAAAAAAAAAAAGAAAATCATGCGAATTTTCTTTTTGTCTAACGTCATTTGCATAGTCTAAATATAAAATAAACAGCAAGTAATAAGCCATTAGCAAAAAACAAGAGTGAGAAATGTGCATTAAAATGATGTATAACATAACCACATTTATTTAAGAATGTATTCCAATATCAAACAGCAAATTTCAACAATGCAAAAACCGCAATGACATTTGCACCAACCTAATAAAATTAGAACAATACAGAGATTAGCATGGCCCCTGCACAAGGATCACATGCACATTCAGAAAGCGTTTCATATTCTTCATTAAAACTTCTTTCACCTAAAAAAAAATTATACACAAATGATCATAGCAGTATGGTTCATAATAGCCAAAAAGTGGAAACAACCCAAATGCCCATCAACAGATGAATGCATTTAAAAACATGGTTATTTATACAATACAATCTCTAGTCCGCCATAAAAAGGAGTAAAGCACTGATACATGCTATAGCGCAGAACCTTGAAAACATCGTGCTTATTGAGAGAAGCCAGTCACAGAAGACCACGTTTTGTATGGTTACATTTAGATGAAATTTTCAGTATAAGCAAATCCATAAAGACCTAAAGTAGAAGATTAGGGGATGGGGGAGGAGAGATAGAGAGGGACTGTCTTCTTTTTGAGATGGAGTCTTGCTCTGTTGCCCAGGCTGGAGTGCAGCAGTGTAATCTCTGCTCACTGCAACCTCCACCTCCCAGATTAAACTGATTGTCCTCTTCAGCCTCCCCAGTAGCTGAGACTACAGGCATGTGTCGCCATGCCAGGCTAATTTTTGTATTTTTAGTAGAGATGGGATTTCGCCATGTTGGCCAGGCTGGTCTCGAACACCTGACCTTAAGTGATCCACCTGCCTCAGCCTCCCAAATTGCTGGGATTACAGGCATGAGCCACCGTGCCCGGCCGGGTACAGAATTTCTTTTGGGGGTAATAATGTTCTGGAATTAGATAGTGATGGCTGAACAACCTTGCGAATATATTTAAAAACCACTGAACCTTACATTTTTAAATGGTGAATTTTATGGTATGTAAATTGTATGTAAATTTTTTAAAAAAGGAAAAAGGATTGAGCGATTTGTTGACTCTCCTGGTAGGTTGTAAGGGAGAGATATTTTTGAGCAGGGGTACCTCCCATTGCTCCTTCTCTGCTCAGTGCTCATGCCCTTCAGCGAAGCAGAACAAGAGAAGCAGAATTTGACAAGGGACCTGACACTTGCATCAGACCCAGGGGTTTCAAGGCACTTACTGTCAAGAACTAGGTTAAAATAGGGCCCACTTTTTTTCAATGATAGGTAAAAGGTTAATGGATATATATTTCTCAATGTTAAGATTTTCACCCATAGTATATCTTAAAATATTGGTGCTGCTTCCACTTGTCTGTTGGGGAGTGTTAGTGCAATGCTTAGTACACCCAGAGAGAAATGAGTCTCAAGAGAGAGCACTAGAAGGCAGACCTATTTGGCAAAACTCAGTTTTGTTTTTGTTTTTTAGAGATAAGATCTCCCTGCTCTGTCACCCAGGCTGGAGCGCAGTGCCTCCATCACAGTTCACTGTAGCCTTGAACTCCTGGGCTCAAGTGATCTTCCCGCCTCAGCCTCCCAAGTAGCTGGGACTACAGGCACACACCACCACACCTGGCTAATATACATACAGACAGGTTCTTGCTATGTTGCCCAGACTGATCTCAAACTCCTGACCTCGAGCAATCCTCCTGCCTCAGCCTCCTAAAGTGCTGGAATTATAGGTGGGAGCCACTGTGACTGGAAGCAAACCCCAGTTTTGAGGTTATAGGCAGAGCTTCCACTAGACAAAATTAGGAGGCAGGTGACATTTGTCTTCAGAGCCTTCCATCTTCCCTGAAGGGGGACTCAGTGCTCTCTTACACACCCTTCATCTCACTGGGAATCTGAGATCCTGTTCTTTGATGACTCATCCTTGAAATTGGTTTATTATAACCCTATTTTAAAACTTTAGTCTGTAGAAAATATTCACATAAGTACACAAAGACACATGTATAGGGATGTTCATGGTATTATTTCAGTTACAGTTTCCAATCAGAAACAACCTAGATAATTGCTAATAAGAGAAATATTGTGCTTTTGGTAAACAAACCAACCTTCTCACAGAGGATTTGTATTACAGAACATGCTCAGGGAGAAGCCCCCTCCTAAATTAACTGATGCGAGTGGGTGGGGATTGGGATTCGGTAGTAGTGGGAAGCCCCACCTGGAGGCTGATGAAATACAAGCTGGTTTGCTGCTTTGAGATTTTGCTTATTTTTTCCTTTGCCTGGAATATACTTTCCTTCTACCTACTCCCATTCCAAAATCTGACATTAGCACAACTTTCAACATTATGTTGCTCAAATGCCACTCTTGATACACTTTTCTCTTCCCCATTCAGCTAAGGGCTTGGTGTCATTCATTTTTGAAACTCTGTCATTTAGCAGACTGCCTGGGATATAGCAGAAGTGCGAGAAATATTTTCTAAACAAAATAAGGAATAACTGAATCTACCTCTTCCAAACATATTAAGTATTCCACTCCCTGTGAATCCACAGCACTTTATTTATGTCTCACTTTTGGCGTTATGACTTACTACCTTGTATTGTGGTTTATTTGTGTGAATCTTTGCCTCTCTACTGGAATGAAAGCCTTTCGTGGGCAGAAACCACATAACACCACGCATAGTGCTTTGTGTATAATAAGTATACAATTAACATTTATTTCAGTTTGGCAAAAAAAAAAAAAGCTTTTTTGAAAAAATTTATTAGTATCTCATAAATATGAGAATTAAATGTATGTATGCTAATACGGATGAAGGAATATAAAAAGGGCTTTATTTCCATAATGCTGTCATCCTCGAGCCACTAGGGATATTCTGAGGTTTAGGCTTACTAATTTATGCACATAGGGCTCAGCAGCCTAAGCAGCTCAATCAACTTGCTCTTCCTCTCTCTTTCCCTCAGGCCTCCCCTCCAGCTAATGATAATTTTGACTTTCATGCTATAAGGAAAACCAGTGCTGGAAAAGTCAGAGGGCTACTTCAGTTCAAACAGCAAGTCAACTGCAGAATCAATAATAGATCTGCCCTCTCAACCTCCTCTGGCATGAACCTTCTCCGACACAAGCCCTGGTCTTGAGAATGTGGTGACCGATGATTCCCACATTTAGGACTCACATCAGAAGAGAAGCTTCTTGTCAGTTCTACTCCTTTCCCTACATTTGGTATGCAAGGGAGCTTCTCTGAGACCTTAGGACCCCAGTGTATGCCTGTTTTATATTTCAGACTCTTCTTAATAGCTTGTGAGCCTGTCACAGTCTCTGTTAGCCTGGGGTAGGGCATAATTATCTTTGTTTTGTGGGAAGAACTCTGTGGCATAAGTTACTTAATATTCAGAGAGCAATTTGCAGGTACTCAGCTTAGTCACAAAGTCTGCTTAATGATGCTGAACACAAAAGTCTGGATTGTCTATTTCCAAGCTGTTATCCAGGTTGGCTAAATGGCCCATCTTCCCTCTTACCTGAACTCCAAGAGTAGCTGGAGTTTGGGGCCCAAACTGTACAACCACAGTCAGCTAGACCAGGGTTTCTTTTCCTGAGAACTATCAACATTTAGGCCAGATAATTCTTTGCTTTGGGGGTTGTCCTGGGCATGGTAAGATTTTTAGCATTATCCCCGGCCTCTATACACTAGATGCTCATAGCATCACTCCTCCCCAACCAGTTGTGACAACCAAAAATGTCTCCAGATATTGCCAGTGTCCCCTGAAGAGCAAAATTGCCCCCAGTTGAGAACTGCTAACTGTGGACTCTGAGCTACTTGCTCACTATCTTCCAGACCAGAGACGGACGAGATGGATGTTTCCAAACTTCTCTTACCCAGATTCCACAGACTGAGTACTATCTTCTTTCTTTGAGCATTAGCTTTGACTATTCCTTCCTCATTTGCCTGATAGTCGGTGGTCTCCTGGTTGCTTGAGTCTCTTGGTTTCATTTCCTTCTGGCCTTGGATGACCCCACTGCTGTCCTGTTTCACCTCATGAGCTGGGCTAACAAAAACAATGTACTTTCCCCAAGCCCAAATTTGCAACATTTATTCAATAAACATTTATTATTATATATTTTGCTTGAGTGACATGCTAGGATAAACTAGAGATTGTGGGGTTTACTAGCTAGAATTATGTTTCATTGCAAGTGACAGTTGCCTGAACAAGATAGAAATTTATCCCACGTAGAAGTCCAGAATGAGACAGGCCAGAACTGGTGTGGTGGTCTTGTTCCATGAAGTTGATCTGGGCCTGAGTTCTCTTCTAAGATTACTCCATCGTCCAAGATAACTGCTCAACCCTAGCCATCAGCTCCACCACCAAGCCATCAGGAAGAAGGAAAGAATGGAGAAAAAAGCGAAATTAAGAAAGGTTCTTGAAGACTGCTATATAGTACTAATGCTTGCATCTCATTTGCCTGAATTTAGTTACCAGGCCACACCTGTCTGTAAGGCAGGCTGAGGAAGTTTCACTCAATGGAGTTTCACTCCTGTTGCCCAATCTGGAGTGCAATGATGTGATCTTGGCTCACTGCAACTTCCTCCTCCCAGGTTCAAGGGATTCTTTTGCCTCAGCCTCCCCAGTATCTGGGATGACAGGTGTGCACCATCACGCCCGGCTAAATTTTGTAAAGACAGGGTTTCACCACATTGGCCAGGCTGTCTCAAACTCCTGACCTCAAGTGATCTACCCGCCTCAGCCTCCGAAAGTGCTGGGATTACAGGCGTGAGTCACCGCTCCCGGCCGGAAACATGGTTTTTACTCTGAGTGTCCATGTGACCCACTTAAAAACTGGAGGATTGGCCAGGCGCGGTGGCTCACGCCTGTAATCCCAGCACTGTGGGAGGCCGAGGCGGGCGGATCACGAGGTCAAGAGATTGAGACCATCCTGGTCAACATGGTGAAACCCCGTCTTTACTACAAGTACAAAAAATTAGCCGGGCCTGGTGGTGCGTGCCTGTAGTCCCAGCTACTCGGGAGCCTGAGGCAGGAGAATCGCTTGAAACCGGAAAACGGAAGTTGCAGTGAGCCCGGGTGGCGCCACTGCACTCCAGCCTGGCGATAGAGAGAGGCTCTGCCTCTACAATAACAACAACAACAAAAAACCGGAGGATGTAGTACCACGAATGTTAGAGGACAACTGAAAGCCGCTGCTGGATGGAGGGTACAAGGACACTTGAAACACATGCCTACTCTCAGGATGCTTTGGTACGGTAGCAGAATTAGTTGTACAGTATACACAACTACCTCTAGTTAAACTTGACTAAAATAACTTTTTTTCTAAAGGGGGAAGGGAAGGTGTAATTACAATAATGATACAATGATAATGACTATAAACTAAATATTAGCAAACCACATTAGGAAGAGGACTCGTGTTTATATTTGTGCAATTGTGAGTATATAGTTCGTCAGATTCTAGAACAAATTTGAGTTTAATTTTTGGAAGAGTTTGCCTCTCAGGAAATGCATACAGAAAACTCAATTACCAGTTTTCGAAATGTTGGAAATAATAATTATGAGTCACTTGGTGGTTCTATTTTTATTATCTAGTAGTGGGTGTCAAATTAACTGCTGCTTTATTTTTAGCTATGTGATGTGTCTCTCAGTACACATTCTCTAGAGGATTGCATTAGTTGAAATATGACAAAGATCTGCAGAGTCAATAGGGTTGGCCAAGTCTTCATCAAAGATGATCCCAAACTTGTCATTTGGTTTTGGTACAAATTGACAAGTCATCTTACAGTGCCAAGAGTCATGATGACCAAAGAGAGTGGAATTGAGGCTTCTCTTTTTCCAGTTTCCACATTCTTGTAACTCTTTTATTTCTTAGCAGTGCTGTTCTAATGGCCTCCATGGAGTGTTGGTCCAATCCCAAGGCCTTGCTGCATATTACAGAGTCAACATGAGGGAGAAAAGCTCAGTTCTCAACTCTTTGAGTACGAAATAGGCAGTCTAATTGCAGATTAGCAGAATGGCCTTGACGTTCTTTAGAAAACCTCCATTGGGCAGAGTAAAGAGAAAGTTGACTTCATTTTATTACTTTCACAAAAGAAAAGCTTGGTGCTCTCCCATACTATTCCAGATTCCTATCATCACTTATTCCTGGAATTGTGTAGGTAAGCAAAGAGTCATAGAGGTAGGGGGAAAAAAATGTGGGCTGGGAGAGGTGGCTCACACCTGTAATCCCAGCACTTTAAGAGGGTGAGGTGGGCGGATCACGAGGTCAGGAATTCCAGACCAACCTGACCAAGGTGGTGAAACCCTGTCTTTACTAAAAATACAGAAATTAGCCAGGGTGGTGCCATGTGCCTGTAATCCCAGCTACTCAGGAGGCTGAGGCAGGAGAATCGCTTAAACCCGAGAGGCAGAGGTTGCAGTGGGACAAGATTGTGCCACTGCACTCCAGCCTGTGTGACAGAAGTAGACTCTGTCTTCCCCATCCCCCACACCCCCCAAAAATTTGGTGTGCTGGAGACCTGATTCCTGATTGAAAAAGAGGAG